TTTGAGACTTTAGTCTTTGCAACTTTACAGATCTTCTTTATGCACCAAGAGCTTGTAACACTCCAAAGAGAAAGGAAAAATTGAAATCGCATCATATGACCCCTTTAATCTCAAATTGGTCTTAAAGGGATAGTTCACCCAAAAATGAAAGTTTTGTCATCATTTACGTTGTTCCAAACCTGTATGACTTTCTTTTTTCTGTGAAACATAAAAGAAGATATTTTGAAGAATATTTGCAACCAAACAGTTAATGGTCCCCACTGACTTCCACTGTAAGGACAAAATACTATGGAAGGCAATGGGGACCAGAAACTGTGTGCTTACTCACATTTTTCAAAATAGCTTCTTTTGTGTTCAACAGAAGAAAGAAAGTTATACAGGTTTGGAATGACATGAGGGTGCGTAAATGATGACAACATTTTGGGACGAACTATCACTTTAGGCAGTCAATGTTTTTATAGAACTTTTTTATTTTCCAGGGCAATAGTGGTAAACATGTTCAACATATCTTTCTAGTCAGTACTTTGGCTATATAGAAATTGGCTTTGAAAACCAAGCCCACCCTGATTCACTGGAGTAAGAAGAGTGAGAACTAGCCCCGGTCTGCCTTATTCAGTGTTGACGCTCTGAAGAACAGGGACTTATAAGAGAAATACCAGAAGCTTACCTTTCACTTTTCTCCAAAGCAAGCAGTTAATAAGCAAAATGGATTGGTCAATAATTTACCAGAGCTCTTTAGATTGTGTTGAATTAGCTCTGCTCCTAAACCTAGTGAACTGCATCCCTGCTAACGATCTACACAGAGAGCTGCGTTCACAGGCAGAAACCAAACTGAAATGGAACTAATAAGTGATTGATATGAAACACACCTGATGGGCAGCAACCCAGCAGTTCAGTGCTGTTCATGCAAAATATACACCACCAAAAGTCTGGGGCCAGTAAAACTTTAAAAAATTTTTAAAAAAATGTATGTATATTTTTATTCAGTAAGGATGCATTAAAGTGATTTACAAACTATTTATATGTTAAATAAATGCTGTTCTGAACTTTCTATTCATCAAGGAATCCTGAAGCAGCACAATGTTTTCACCATGGATAATAGTACGAAATGTTTCTTGAGCAAATCAGCATATTAGACTGATTTCTGAAGGATCATGTGACACTGAAGACTGGAGTAATGATGCTAAAATTTCAGCTTTGCATCACAGGAATAAATTACATTTGAAAATATATTCAGTTAAATTATTAATATTTTACAATACTACTGTTTCTACTGTATGTTTGATCAAATCGAGGTATCTTATAAATAAGTATAATTTTGCTTATTTAAAACATCATCTAGCTGTGCAGCTCACTAGGTTTTTGGAAAAGAGCTACTCACTTTCATTTCTTCTATTGAAGGTGAGGTTGTAATGGGTGTATAAAGTTTGTGACGAAATAATAAAGTAGATGAATGAAAGGAATACAGTCAGTAAGGGAAATAAAAAGGTCATGCGAACAAAGAGGACAGTTAGAGAGCACTCACATGTGAGAGAAAAAGCTGATGGGAAGTCACTCCGACCAGCAGCATACGGCTTAGCAACCAACAGAACGAGTTTGAACAAAGAGGAAGAGAGACAAGGATGCTACAGACAAAAGACAGAGAGAGAGAGGCAGAGAAAGAGAAGGAAATGCATGACAATGAGGGGGAAGTCAGAAAACACTGACAGTATGAAAGGATGGAGAAAACGATGGACAAACAGATGCGTGATGAAGGGAGGAGTGTACCTGGCTCTCCACCAGCATGGCGATGTCCACAAACATGTCGTGCAGTTCCTTTATGCTGCTCTCCAGACGCACAATGTCTTTGTGACGCGCTTCAATCTCACTCAGCGCTTGTTTAGAGATCCCTGAATCCACAATCTGCAACACAATATTCATATTCAACAAAGATTATGAAAGTGTGAGGATCCAGTTCTCTAGAGATGGAGTCTAGATCTTGTGGTCTTGGTTTTGAGACATTAAAGTGGCCTGAGTCTCATTATTTGATGTCCTGGTCTGAGTCTCAATATGGTTTAAGACAAGGGTCTCAGATTCAAATTACCACTAGTCAAGTGGTATTTGCCATCGGTGACCAGTTAAACAGTTACAACAAAAACCTCAGATGTCAGGGGAACATTACGTTAAAAGCAACATGTTACATAATAGTTTCTAAAAACAAGTAACCATTTGCATTACATTTGACTTCATATGAAAAGTAATGTGTTTTTTGCATTGCATTGCATCATAAAGTGTGTGGGTGGGCTACTTCTCTACTGCTGTGAAGTCGCCACGGAAGTTGCATTTAAGTAGCATTTATGCTATGAGATAAGAGTGTATTTACACAGCAACCACAATCACAGGAAACAATGAATCACTCAACTGTTACATTCATGACAAAATACTGCTTGCTGTGCTGATTCCAATGCCAGACAGAGTCCACATATTTTAATACAGCTTATATGCTGGTTATGTTATATTAGAGGTGGGCAATATGACCAAAATCTTATTTTGTGCCACTTTAAATCTGCAGTGTCAAGATCTAGAAAACAATTTTAATTAAATTACATATTTAATTTGAACAATATTTTTTTTTACTTTAATTATAAATATTATTAATATTAAAATAACTGAAAACGAACAAAAAAGTAGCTAGCCGCACACTGAATACAACATTTCTAAAATTAAAATAATAAAATTTCAGGATTCCAGAAATGTTAAGAGCTGTATGTTATTCAGGCCTTTCTTTTAAACGATAAATTTCCACGACTCTTCCAGTCATTTGTGATTTTAGAGTTTCTACCCAATAAAATATTTTAAATCTTGGCATAACTTAAAAATGTGTATTTGTTTTTTAAAAAAAGATTCTGTTTTAAGATTCTCTTAATTAATTTACACTCTTAATTGACTTTTTCAGGTCTAGAAATCACACTTTTAACATTAGGCTACATAATACATCCATATTTTCCAAAACCTTGGGAACCCTGGTTCTTTAAAGAAAACAAACAGTTGTTGAAGGGGTTAAATAAAATAAGAAATATGTTGATTTGTAGTTGTTTAACCTTATTTTAAATAATTTTAAGCCATCTTGATGCTCCCTGGTTGAGAACCAAAAAAAGGTACAAAAGCTGCCACTGGGATGGTATCCTAAGGTACAAAAGCTAAAGGGTACATCTGATCTTCTACATTTTTTTAACCCTAAATGGTGCATATTAGTACCTTAAAGCAGTGGCGAGCGGCTAACTGGGTATGCTGAGTGATAGACCCCCCCCACCCCCATTGGCTTTTAGGACACTCAAAAGGGATCAAGATGACAAATAAGAAACACCGTGGCAGGTCTCGATTTAAAAGTATGCACATTTCCTACCTTATTTGTAAATGAAATTCATCTCCAATTCTTCTTCTATCGTTTCAGGTTTATCCATTGTCATTCGAATGCAAGAAAAATATAGCTGGTTTTCCAAGTAAAAACCGCCAAATAACGTTTACACATAGTTAAGTTATGATACGTAATCAGAGGGTGGGGAGATGGGGGGATTCCCCCGGTCTATATGTCTCTGCATCAGATAAATTATTTTTTTATTCACAGTGAATAGGAGTTAAAACTCCCACCCGTGTGACACTCCAATAACAGACCATGCAAAATACCCAAAAGTATTATAAAATATTGCAAAGTAACGTTGCAACCTTGCAAACAATAATAAAATCAGAGAAGGACTTCACCTGTAAGCGACACGAGATACGCAAAACAATATGATGTTTGTTATTATTAAAATTTTATATAGCCCACGTTTTTATAAACAAATTTTTTTTTTTTACCGCTTAGGCAATATCGTTGACAGTAACGTATATCTTCAACATAAGTTGTCTATGACCAAAAATGTAAGTTGTTCAGTGGACTTTTAAAATCTGCTTTGCTTGAGAAAATAAAAATACATTAAGTATGCACATTTCCTACCTTATTTGTAAATGAAATTCATCTCCAATTCTTCTTCTATCGTTTCAGGTTTATCCATTGTCATTCGAATGCAAGAAAAATATAGCTGGTTTTCCAAGTAAAAACCA